TATGAAAAATTTATACATATAAATTATGAATATTGTTTAAATACAAATTATGAATATTGTATACATAAAAATATAAATGCAATAAGAGCAAAATTAACTATAAAATCTTATGATTTCTTTGTACAAATATACAGACTCAAATTGATATAGTTTTTAAAACCATGCAAGTTAGTTTATGTTGTGATTGTTGAAGATGATTGATTTTTAAACTTTAAATGTTGTTTTGATAACAAATCTTCAATGTTTGAATCAAAGCATTAAAAAATTACATGCCTTTTTTAGAAAAAATTAAATAAGCACTTTTAAATTTTTCTGAGAAATGACACATTTTAACTATATTCAAATGCACATTTTTACACATGATGTAGTATTGAGTTAGATATTATTGAAAAGTATGCTGTTGTAAAGCTTCAAATGTTGACACCAATAGAGCGAGGTATTTTAAAAGTATGATTCAGAAGCTTTAAAACATCTTTTTTCTCTAAAAACAAAAAAATGAATTTTTAAATAACTTTAAAAATTTGAACTTTATAACAATCACAGAACATTTGAAAGTACTTTAAAAAACACAGTTTTTTATTTTCCCCAGGATAAAAAACTCAATTATCTCTTTATTTCAAGCCTTTTTTTAAAATTCTGCATACTACGTTTTGGTTGATTGTGTGATAACAAAATTTTTACTACAATAAAATTATAGTTGCTGTAAGTATCGTAATTTTAACTAATTTTTAGGACAAGTCTAAAAACTAATTAATAATTTAAAAGCTAGGTAAAATAATCACGTTTTCCATGAATTCCTAAAATTAAAGAATAGAAAAAGCAAAAATTAAAGTATTAGTGAATTTCTTTGGTTTAAAAGTGGAATTAAATAGGGATTGTCCATAAATTATGCAATGCTAAATTTCACTAATAAACAAAACATAAGAGATCAAAAGTTTTTTCTGCAAGTTTTGTCATGTAAAAGAATTAAATATTATCTACTTCTTTTTTTAAAATAAACTTTGCATTGCAAAATATATAGACAATCCCTAATTAAATGTTTAAATACTTGTGCAAACAAATTTGAAAAAGATATGAAATATATTACAAGAATAATGACATTTATCTTCTTCATCAGGTTCTGAAAGTTACTCTTGAAATTATATAAATAAAGAAAAAAATAAAGTTTCTTTAACATTCGAAACTTAACTGAGCTGCACATTTGTTTGAAATTAATTCAGCAGTCAGGAAGATATTCGAGAAACTTTAATAATTTTTGAACTAACTTTAATAGATAGTTTTGATATAACTTGCTAAATAAATTGACTTTAGTAACATTTTTTTTTTTTTTTTTTTAATTATACTTCACCTCCTCAAGGCCGACAAGGCCACTACAGACGAGGAGGCTACTTATTTTGTGGCTATAACCCTCTCTCAACTCTATAACTCCGAAACACGAACCTTGACAAACAAGGCCGCTGCGCAGAGAAACGAGTTGAGCGCGGTACTACCAGGGACGTGGTGGGGATCGAACTCGAAACCACTCGTTTATGAAGCGAGCGCTCTACCACTACACCACTACCGCATAATATTTAAACTAAACTATTGTAATACTGCATAATATTTAAACTAAACTACCGCATAATATTTAAACTAAACTATTGTAAATATGGTAAAACTATTTAATGTCTTTTAATTGTAAAATAAACATCATTATCTTTTAAAGAAATAAAAGATAATAATGTTGGAGTATGATTAAAAGTTTTCGCCAGATATATTACTTAAATACACATAATAATACAAGAGAAAAATTTAATTCTTTTAAATTAAATCTTTATATTTAAGAAGATAACAACTAATGCAATAATATCATAGCTGTTGTAAATATAACTTAAAATCTTTGAAATTATATTACTACTGTTTAAAAATATACCATCTATAATTTTAACACTATATTTGTAAATAAAAAAAGAAAATAATTAAATTCTTATTTAAAAATTACTTGCAAATAACAAGTTCCGCATCTAAACTTTGTCAATAGAGTTCTTTAAAACAGCCTCTAGATTAAATTTTGTCTTGAGTAAAAAGGATAAAATCTAATCTAGATATAATCTTTATAAATAAAATCTTTCAATTTTGTAAACAAATACTAAACAATCATATGCTTAAGAAATAAAAATCATAACTTTTATGCCAACTTAAAAGTGACTTAAACCACTCTTTTATTTACAGTATTATTATAAGTATATAGTATATTATTAGTAACATTATTATAAGCATATAGAATATTATTAAAAATATGATCATAAGCATATAGTATATTATTAAAAACATTATTATAAACTGGTTAAGTTTGTAATGTTTTAAGTGAAATTTTAAGTAGAAGTTTACTTACAAAACTTAGATTCTAGCTATCTAGTATCAGAGTGATTTGGGTTGGGAACTCCTGTTCTAAATCATTATCAATTCAATATTTTTTCTAATCTCTGTTTTTTTGTCTGAATAGTCATACCACACATCCAACTGATCATTGTCTTCTCTTTGGGTACCACCATATAACCATATTTTTTGGACACCACCATATACTGCACCATATAAATACTAAAGTTTATAAATATGTAAAGATACTATATGCCAGCATCTAAATAAATAGGAAAAATGTTTCTATCTATATATATCCATTTTATGTATGCATAAATGGGTCTCTTACCTAACCTCCTGGATCCAAGCAGGTATTTAAGCTGTTCTTAATTCTTTTTGGTTTCAAGTCAAGCTTTCTACTACACGTTTTTCACCTTATGTGCAGTTTCTATATTAAACATAATCATTTTTTTTTTTTTTTACCAAATACTCTTGAGAACAAATGTCTTTTCATTATAAAAGTCAATGTAAAAATGTTCTGTCTGATGTTAATCTCCATTATTCTTAGTTTATTAAATTTTGTACTTTATCTTAGATGTTCGGTTATAGAGACTTAAGGAAAATCTTCAACAGTGTCATAAAGTAAAGTTAGTCTAACATTCTATCATTAAAACATTGGTGTGATCTTATTACTTCTCCCCAAAATAAAACAGAATTATTTGCAAAAAACGTTTCCTTTAATTTGACAATTGAATTTAATGGGCATATTCTTCTAGCTATTACAGATAAATAGAACAACCCGTTGTTAGACATCCAAATTATCTCGGTTTCCGATGCTAAAGTCAAATCTCAATTTAGCTCTTCTATAGTCTTACAAAAGTGTTCTCCAGAACTCTCTTCAGTACTTGCTAAACAATTAATAAGTGCTAATTGAGTAGTTCTAATTTTTTATTAGTTCTAATTTTCAAAAACTCTAGAAAGTACCTATCTAACTATCCTATGATTAGTCTCTATTATTAGTTTTTTTAAATAAAAGTTTTGTGACGATTAAATCAACCACAATATTCTTTACTCCTGCATTGTTTCTAATCTACAATAAAAATCTTTCTGAAAATCCTACACTTGAGTGGCTCGTCAGTGCTGACAACACAACTTCATACGCTTGTCTTGACAAAAGGTCTTTACTTTTTGATTGCTTAAAACAAGTAATTGATCTTTACTCTGATCACATTTCTGTAACAGTTTGAAACTTGCAGTGGCTTCTGTAACAGTTTGAAACTTGCAGCGGCTTCTGTAACAGTTTGAAACTTGCAGCGGCTTGTGGTTTTAACTCCAAAAAAACTCAGTTATTTACTGCAAACAACTATCACAATATTGTTGATATTCCTATATTGACGAATAACAACCCTCTCACTCTAAAAAAAGGTCTGAAAGCACATTGTAAATGTTTTAGATTTATAAATGTAATAGATTTGCACATTATAAAAGTAATTATATAAATTTGTAATTATATAAATTAAAAAAAAAAGATTTGCACATTATAAATGTAATAAATTTGCTCTATCTGCAGGTTTAACTACATTTACCTGCTCAAACTTGAGGTACTCTACCATTATTGTAAGGTTCTATTTCTTTTTTTTTCTTACAAATACAAAGACTATCATGGTTGCTGCTTAAATAAGCCAGTATCCAAAGTTTGATCAACCAAGACTCTTTCTTGTTTGGCTTGTCATTCAGCAAAATTGTATCCTTTTTATTCATTTATTCCTTCATGCAATAAAAACTCTCATCAATCATGTTTTTTTTTTACGCACAATTTTTTCCGTTCAACCGTTTTCATTTTTCTTATATTTTTTAGTAACTCATAATGACTATGTATTTTGAAGTTAATAAAAAGTATAGTTTTTTTTCGCCAAGTACAGCTTGATTTCGCAAAGCTTCATACATTTCCATAAATTTATATACCAAAGACAGTGGACCAATTATATTTAGATTTTTGCTTTAATCAGCTTATAAAAATACATTTTGTTGCAAAAAATGTTATTGCTATATATAACTAGAAAATTCAGTGGCGTTTTTAGCAAACATTGAGATCAATAATATAATAGCTTTAAAAAAAAAGTCTTTTTCTCCATTAAGGTTAATTAAATTTATTAAAAATGACACAAATATATAATTAATTATGTTTGTAATTAAGGATATTAACTTTGTTAAATAAAATTTGTGATTTAAAAAAAAAAAAAATTGATGTTAAAATGTTTTTCTAAATTGATATTAAAATTGATTCTAATTGAATTTAAATTGATGTTCAAATGTTTGATCAGACGACATCTGAACTAATTGAATAAATATTTTAAGCGCGTGAAAATTAACTTTTATTATTATTATAACTAAAAGCTAAGGAGTAATAAAATAAAGCATTATGAAATCAAGGATCAGTGATCTTATATTATAGATGCTAAAAAAGTTCAATTTATATTGGTAACCAAATGCAACAATGATTCAATCAAATTTTGATAAACTAGTTGAATATTCTTATTTACAAAAACTTTTTACAAAAATATTTCTTAAATTTTTTTAACTTTCGTGAAGTTGCAAATCAATAAAATAAGTTATTTTTTTTAAACCAAGTTTTTAAACCTATTTATCTTTCTTTATAGATTGGCTGCGTCGGTTGTTGGAGTCGTGGAAAGAGTTAACAAGTTAATATCAGTAAAACCGTTTAAAACACGCTATAATGGAGAGGTTGGTGATGTAATTGTTGGTAGAATTACTGAGGTTAATCAAAAGCGATGGCGTGTTGATACAAACGCCCGATTAAATTCAGTACTTTTACTTTCTGCTGTCAACTTACCTGGCGGGGAGTTACGTAGACGCTCTACTAAAGATGAACTACTAATGCGTGAATATTTGATTGAAGGAGATTTAGTAGTCGCCGAAGTGCAGTCGATATTTGCTGACGGATCATTATCGCTCCACACTAGAAATCTCAAATATGGGAAGCTTCCCCAAGGAACAATTCTTAAAGTTTCGCCTTCTTTAGTTAAAAGATGTAAAACTCATATGCATAGCCTTCCCTGTGGTGCCACTCTTATACTCGGTAATAATGGATATATATGGATAGGACCTTTAATGTCTGCAGAAAGTGATTTATCTTCTCGATCAGCTCAGCGTATAACAATACAGCGATCCGATCGTGAAGTTATTGCACGTCTTAGAAATTGTATAACTATTTTAGCAAGTTATGGGGTCCAGTTATATGACACCAGTGTTAATTATATTTACGAAGAATCATTTAAATACAGCGTTAAAGAACTTTTACAGCTTGAGAATCAAGAAGATATTGTTGATGCTGCTAGAAGAAAACTTGCGCAGCATTTATGAGACTTTTAAAGGCCATTAGATTGATTTTTAATTGATTATATATGCGCGTATTTTTTATTTTCTTAACGTTTCTTTTAATTCCTCTCATGAAAGCATAAAAAGTTTACCAATAAAATTAAGTTTCATGTCTAGAAGACATTGAATTTAATTTAAATAATATTAATAAGAAAAACGCCATTTTAAAACTATCGCAAAATTATCAAAATTGATATTGGTATAAAATAATTTTAAAATTGCAGATATTTATGTTGCCTTGACAACTATCTACAATGGGAGGTGTGAGAAAATGTACGCACTGCTTCGTCCATAAAATCCCATGGGTTAATGGAGCACTTTTACTAAAGGTCTATGTAACAATAAAATGTGTTTTAATCTATATGTGTCACTAGGAGGAATTGGATTTTATTTACTTTTCTTAAAAAATTTTACAATTATGACTTTTTAAATAATTTTTTTACGAAATAACGTTAGCAGTTTTTAATATAAATAAACAATCTTCCTAAAGCCTCAAGTAAATTGAATGTCATAATGTTTGAAGACGACACTAATTTGTTTTTTGCATCCTAATCAATTACAGAACTTTATGAAACTATAAATGCTTAACTTAAAAAAAATTAAATATTAAATACCAAATTATATAAAAAAACATTGGTATCCTTTACCAAGCTAGTTCTATACTGTCTCCTGATAGTTCAAAGTTTCTATACTTCTTGTTCATACAAAGCTACTACATTTACGCTAATGTTGCATGGGCAAGTACTCGTAAATCCAAACTAACTGCGCTATATCGAAAACAAAAACATGCTGCAACAATAGTTTTTAATAAGGATAGACTCTCGCATGCTAAGGCACTTTGAAAAATTTGATAGCATTAAATGTATATCAAATCAATATATTCCAAAATTTGTTATTTATGCTCAAATATAAACTTAGACTTGTTCGTTCTCACTTTCCAAAAAATTTACTCCGAAATAGCAAAAATAGATACCATACCAGAGTAACGGGAAACTTCAACATACCTTTTAAAAAAACAAATCTCTCGCCCTTTTCCTTTTCGTAGCGTGGTCCTTGTCTATATAACAACTTAATATCCAAAATATTTACTTTTAAATAAATTTGGAAAAATCGAATGACTTAAATACTCTGAAAACGTTATTTAAAGATCTCATTTTAAACACTTACAACTTTATGACAATCAACCCCTAAACATTTAAAACTATGAATAAAACTAGCTATAATATTGGTTCCGAGACCAATATAAACTCTAATAACTCAAAAACAACAGCAAAAAAATATATAATAGGCTTATTTATCAACATATGAAGTTCACATGTTGATAAATAAGCCTATTATATGTTTTTTTGATGTTGTTGTTTTTGAGTTATTTAGATTTATTAGAGTTGCTAAATAGGTAATATATAGTCGTCCACATTGTGAACGACTTTATATTACCTATTTAGCTAGTAGGTAATATATGGTCGTTCACATTGTGAACGACTATATATTACCTATTTAGCAAATCGTGTACCTACTTATATTTATGTGTATTGAAGTAAAATCAAAAACTTCTTTTTGTCTGGATTTACTGTTTTTTGCAATTTTGTTTTCATTCTGCCGAAGCTGATAACATTATATTTTAAAAATATACTTATTTTAAATTGAAGTATCAAAAAATATTAGTAACGCATAGCGGTTTCTTGATGACAAGACCATCGGTCTTCTGCAAGTTTCCCGCGTTCTTTAAAGTAATTTCTAATGCTTTACAGTTTTATTTTATATATTTTTTGTATAAGGTAACTTTGTGATTTTTTTTAAATTTTACTATATCTGTAAAGATTCTATTATATATTACGAATTTGTAGGTACAATTTGTAAAAACAATTTGTAAGGACGAATTTGTAAATAAAGATAAAAAAAAAAGTTCATGATAAAAAATAGATTGTTTTAAATTTTTTCAATTTTTCCTATTTATAAGGGAAAGTTTGAGGGTTAAAAATACATATATTTAATAAATTTTTAAATTGCATATGGTAGAAATCAAACTTCTGCATTATATATTTTCAACTTAATTAACTAAAAAATAAGAAAAGTCAAAATAAGTTTTTTCATAATAGTTTTTTCTTGTTTAAATCAGACCGCAAATATTATTGGATTAAATTATAATACTAGAGAGGAAGCCAGATTTTTTATTTAATACAAATTTCATGCAAAAAATTTTTTTTCATGAGTAAAATAATTTCTTTGAAGTATCTTACTTCTTTAGTAAGATATTTCAATTCATTTTTCCCGGTGTAAACGTTATGGAGAACCGAGCATATTCCCCTGAAAATTTTAAATTATAGTTATAAAAATTAAAGAGATATAATAAATAAACATGCTTCAAATTGTTCAATAAAAAAAAAATAATCGAGTTACTCTTACTTTATTACCGCTAAAACAAATTTATCTATGAAATTTTTTTTTTTAAATCTATCAAATCTGAAAAAAAAAATTTTCCTGAATAAATTTGCGTGATTTTTACAGAGTTGTAAGAGTTGTAAGATACTACTAATAAAACTTTATTATTTCCTTTATTATATTTATTGAATAATTAAAGCTTCTTTATTTATTATATTACTTTACCTTTTTATAACTACTAGCAGTAAGCAACCCGTAATACGGGTTATTAGTAATTAAATCATTAAATATAATAAAACTTGCTTCACTAAGTTGCTTGGAGCATAAAAATCTGATAACTAAATTAAATAAAGCTCTAAGACTTTTTACATAAGCTGGTGGCAAAATTACAACACGTCCTGGTCTGTGATCATTTCCTTTTATAAAAGCAATTTTATTTTGTTAAAATTAGATGAGTTTTTGACTTGATGAAAATCCCGGAAATTTCTTTCTATAAATTCTGTAAAATTATTTTAATAAAATAAAAGGATAAATAAGGAATTTAAAATAAAAAAATATAAATTAATAAGGAATTTCTAATATTCGAAAAAGTTAATTTGAATGAATTAAAAAGAAAATTATAAAAAATATTTTTGCTTAAGGTGGTAGGCCTATGAAAAATAGAGATTTTTGATCAAAAATTGAAAAAAAAGGAAATATATTGTATTTATGTAAAAATTTATCCTCTATCTGCTGATATATGACTTGTTTAGGTTTGATTAAATTAAAAGTGTCTTAAATAACATATTTTGTTAGCTAGTTTTTTTGTTTACCTTAGCAACGTCATAGCAACGAAAAATTAAGACCTTATTTTACCCAAATTAGATGGCCAAAATGACAAATCTTGTGAAGCTTCTTTTTCCAATATAATATAGATCTGCGGTGTTTTTGGTCATGCTTTAAAGTTACATTTTCTTATAATAATTGCCATATTAAACTGTTTATATTAGCTGTGGTATAAAATCATTATTTATGAATTTTTCAACTCTTAATTTAAATCAATCAATTTGTACTTGTGTATAATCGTAATAAATGTCTTCTGGCAAAAGCAGCAAGCAAAATTTTTCACGAAAAAGAAAGAAGAAGCCTCCTGTAAATAAATACTCAAAAAAATGTCTTTCAAATATTTCATCAGAAAAAGTTACATCTAGCATAAGTAAAAAGAGGCTAATTATGAATCAAACTAATCTCAATACAATCAGTGAAGTAATAAAACAAGAAGATGATTACTTTTTATTCGTAAATTTCTCTGTACTCAAAATTGTTATTCAACCTTTGTTAGTATGTCCTGAATGTGGCCATAAAAAAATAACTCTCAGTGATAACAGAAAGAAAAGAAAGGGATTTGCCCATAATTTAGAACTTTTATGTGAGTCATGCGAATGGTATAAATCTGTTTATACATCAAAAGAATGTAATACACAAATCCATGGTCAAGGTCCTAAAATCTTTGAAGCAAATGCAAGGGCAGTAATTGGTTTTCGTGAAATCGGTAAAGGTTTTACTGCAATGGAAACATTTTCTCAATGCATGAACATGTGTTCTTTATCTAAAACACCATTCTCTAACCTTAATGACAATGAAATTTATACAGCATATGAGAAAGCTGCTTTTAATAGTATGAAAAAAGCAGCTGAAGAAGCTCAAGACAAAACATTAAATATTCCAACAAAACAAAGAGTAACAATTGATGGCTCTTGGCAAAAGCGGGGCTTTACATCACTAAATGGTGTTGTAACTGCTGTCATCAACAACAAAATTATAGATACTAAAGCTTTTTCTAAGAATTGTAAAGGTTGTTCAATGTGGAAAAAACATAGAGGATCACCAGCCTACAACAGATGGAAAGCAGATCACATATGTCACATTAACCATACAAAGTCATCTGGTGTAATGGAGGCGGCTGGCGCATTGGAAATCTTTTCTCGATCAGTTAAAAAGTACAATTTGATTTATCATGAATACCTAGGGGATGGTGATACTTCATCTTTTAAAGAAGTTAAAGAATCTAATCCATATAAAAATTATAATATTCAACCAATAAAATTGGAGTGCATTGGGCATGTGCAGAAGCGACTTGGTACACGCTTGCGAAATATCGTACAGAAGTATAAAAGAACAGAGAAACCCCTACATGGAAAAGGAAATTTGACTAATAGTGCAATTAATTGTGGTGCAACATTGAATGCAAACATTGTCGTATTTAAAATTTTGTATAATATTTTTCAAATTAATTTCTGGAAAATTAAATGAGTTTTGAGAAATCGAATTTTCGGAATTCTTGGAAAAAACTCATCTATGAGTTAATAAGTTAATTTAAAAGATTTTTTGCAGGAAGGAAAGGGGGGAGAAAACGCAAAACAAAAAAGATGGTTTTTATTTACAAACAAAAATAGTTTATTTTATTTACAAGCAAAAATATTATGCAAACAAAATTTACAAAGAAAAATATAATAATATAGTTTACAAAGATATAATACAAAAATAATTTACAAATATAAAGAATATAAAAATACATCTACAACTAGTATTTTGTAGAATTGTAACCTACAGAATATTAATTGTAGATGTATGTAATCCCCCCTCCCCCTCCCCTCCCTTCTTCTACAGCGACCACT